TCTTCTGTCACTGTCCCCTCACAACCTACCCCTGACTCCCAAGACTAGTTTCACAATGTATACTCTCTTGTGTCTGGTTTCTCTCACTTAGCATCTTGTTTGTGAGATTCAATATATCACTCATTTCATTGCTTATAGTGTTTTACTGTGTGACTCTCACACTATTTATCCATTCTACTATTTATGGCATTTGCATAGTTTCCATTTGGGAACTGGTATCTTACATTTTTCATAAGACTTGGGCAGCAAAGTGGAAGCCATTTGGTCTTAATAAGATTTTGATTAAATCTCTTTCATGAAGCCTTCACTGATTCTATAAGTGAACGCTCTCTTTTCTGAATGCCAGACTATTTGACTATTTCCCCTTTCTCACATTGCCTTTTGTATTCTACTCTAACAGCCACCATCCCTTAGAGCAGCGATTCTCAACCTGTGGGTCGCGACCATCGGAAAACACATATAGCATATCAGATATTTACATTACGATTCATAACAGTAGCAAAATTACAGTTATGAAGTAGCAACAAAAATAATTTTATGGTTGGGGGTCACCACAACATGAGGAATTGTATTAAACGGTCGCGGCATTAGGAAGGTTGAGAACCACTGCCTTAGAGTCTTGCTGTAACTTAAAAGAATTCACATAGTCAGCGATTGCTTATAGACCTTTTACTAAGAGTTGTTACACGATGTTCCCTATGCGTGGGTGTCAGGCACTGTCATGGGGCAAACCTGATTTAGAAGGAGAGTATGAGATTTTACAGGCTCCAGAATGAGAATAGCGACCCAGTTTTCTCCCAATTCTATTACACTCCCATCCTTGTAGGATAGAATGAGGTTCTTCATCTGATCTATTAACCCATGGCCATGTCTCATTTTGGCTCTATGCCACCATTGGAAACTTAGCTTGTGTCTCTCACAGTTCCTATCTGAGGCTCACAAAACTCTGTAGGCCGGTGTTTGATCGATTAAGCTAGCCTGTCTTAAAATCTTGAGAAAAGAGATCGAAGAGGATCTAGTTGAAAGGTTATTTTTGTTTGTTGTATTTTATGATTTTGCTGGAGTTATTAGTTTTCTTTTTAATCATTATCAAGGTTCTGTTTGATTATTAATACTATACCTCAGATATGCTTCCTTAATTTATGCTCATTTCTTGATAGCTCTTGTCCTACTAGATTGGAAGGCCTGTGAGAGCAGGGGCCACATCTTACTTGTGTTTGCATCTTCACTGTCTTGTGCTCCTAATAACATCTTTCTAAGCAAAAGGTTTGAATGACTTCATGATGGAAGGGCTTGAGTGGAATCTGAGCACAGTTGAATTATATAGCCCTGTGCCTATTACATTGTTCCTAAAGCAGCTGATTGATAAAGTCTCCCCTCTTTCTTACAAGGATATTTTGAGATGAAATTGTATTATACATAGCATTTTGAGCCTTTCAGAGATAGAATTACATAAAGCACTTTGCCTCTCAGCAGTTGCATAATTTAGTTAGATGACATCTTGTGGCTGAAGTCCACTTTAATGTGAAGACTTTATTGCAATCCTTTTTAAAAAAATGAATAATTTAGCCTTTCTGGTGATTTAGATATGGTTTAAGAGATTGCAAATCAAGAATGTATCAGGGGACTAAGTTAATTACCTGTCTCTGCCACCAGTTGCTCTACTCATGACCCTGGAGAAAGTCACTTCTTTGGCTCAGCTCATTTTTGGCTGCCCCTTCCAGGGTGTTGTCAGAATACATTATTACTGTATGATATAAAGTCATGGAAATACAGAGTTCTAAGCAAACTTAGCACCAACAGTTCCTGGCACATAACAGGGTCTCAGTAAGTATTTGTGGAATAAATTAATGGATTAACACATCAAGCCATTTTCACCATGCCAGATTACTGCAATATTCCAGCCAGCTATTATTTCCCCAGCCTCTGCTTCAGTCCCACGGGTAGTGGAGAGAGTTCACTCCCTCTGAAGGCTGCCCATTCCATTTGTCAATAAATTGAATTACGATCAAATGCCACTGTAGACTTCTAGGAGGCTCTCAGTCTCCTGGGCAGTTAGTCCGGCTGTTCTGCATCTTAGACATGTCGCTGTTGTAAGTGTTGATCACAGTACATTTGAGAATAACTGTTACGCCTCCTTTCTAGACTGTGAGCTCCATGAGGACAGATGTGCATCTTACTTTTTTTATACTCCCAGCTCCCAGCATAGCACAGAATGGATGAAAGACTGGACGGAGGGAATCAGAGAAAATGGGTGGAAGGAATAATAATAACAAGAGCATATGTATTGATTGCCAGCTCAGTGGTCTCCTAAGAGAATTGTACTCACCCTAGAAGATGTGTCAGAAACAATCCATTGGGCTTCAGGAAGACTTTTTTTTTTAACTATTTCCATTTATTTTTTTAAGCCTAACCATTTTCATTTCAATTTTATGGTGTTTTATACTATACATACTATTTTAATATAGTTGTACATGTGTTTAATTTATAAATACCTACATATTGGAAAGTAGATATTCAAACACTTTCTGATAAAAGTACAGATCATAAGTTTGAAGACCCTTAGTTTGTCAGGTACTATGCTAAGCATTTGATATACAGTATTTCATTTCATCCACCAAAAATTCCATGAGGTATATACTATGGTTCCATTTTGCAGGTGAAGAAACTAGGCACAGAGAGGTTAGGTAATTTGCCCCATCATGTACACCTGTTAAATGGTGTAACTAGGGCCCAGAAAGGATTTGTCTGGCTTAACCACTGCCCCATTCTCTCTTGTTTTTCCATCCTAGCACCTGGGGTATACCTCAGGCACAGTACAGGTTGTGGAGTCAATAAATAAATGAATAGATGGATTAATCATACCACATATTAAGATTTTCTTAAGAAAAAATGTAAAACCCAAAAATCTTTTCTTTTTCATGTATTGGCAATGACCAGGCAAGTAACATACCTCTTTGACAGATGAGAACATTTAGTTCCATTTCTTGCAGAAGAAGGACAGCAACTCACTTGATCACTATTGAGCCCAAAGTCAAGTGATTGGTCTTGTGTTCACATCTGATTACTGACTGCTCTTTTACTGAAATATAACTTATATGCCATAAAATTCACCCTTTTAAAGTATACAATTCAGTAACTTTAGTATATTCATAAAATTATGTAACCATCACCACAACATAATTTCAGAACATTAGCATCACCCCAAAAAGAAACCCCATACCCATTATCTGTCACCCTCCATTCCCTCTCCTCCCCCAAGCCACAAATCTGCTTTCTGTCTCTATGGATTTGCTCAGTCTGGACATTTCATGTAAATGGACTATATAATCTAGGACCTTTTAACTTAGTCTAATGTTTTCAAGGTTTATCAGTATGTCATTACTTTTTTATAGTTAAATTATATTCCATTGTATGGATAAACAAACATCCCTTCATCAGTTGATGACATGGTGGGGTTTTCACTTTTTGGCTACCATGAATAATGCTGCTATGAACATTCATTTACAAGTTTTTATATGAACACATGTTTTCAGTTCTCTTGGATATATAGCTAGGAGTGAATTCCTGGGCCATGGGCCCAGGTTTAACATTTTGAGGAACCACCAAACTGTTTTCCAATGTGGCTGCACCATCTTGCATTGACACCAGCAGTATATGGGGATTCCAGTTGTTTCATGTCCTCGCCACACTGGTTACTGTCTGTCTTTCATATTATTAACAATCCTAGTGGATGTGAATGGTATCTCATTGTGGTGTTGATTTGTATTTCACTAATGATAGTGATGTTGAGCATCTCTTCTTGTGTTTATTGCTCCCCCAACTATTTCTTTTAAATTTAAATTATATTTCCCTTTTTTTTCCTTTTAGTGCTTCTCATTGAAATATAAATTTTGTTCATCTTCTCATGATGTCTATTTTGTCCCAAGAATCTCAAAGCTATCAAATGCTCATGAACTCTCCTGTTAGAGATTGCATGGCCTGGGTGTAAATCACAATGCTCATTCATATATGATACTAACACTTAGCAATGTTGAAATTAACATTTGTTATCAAATTTGGTTTAGGCCAGAGAGAAAGGAAAGGTTTTAAAAATTCCATATGCCAGTTTCTTCCTTGTACAGTAAAAGAATATTTACATTAGCCTCTAAAGATTTGTAGTACTATTCTTGGCGGGGGGGAAATGTGCCTGACAGATTTCATGTATAGTAAAGTCTGTATCAGTAAAAGTGTTTATTGTAGCTGCAAGGTCTTTCTGGCTTTCAGACCTACATGTTCCCATCTTAAGTTCATATTTTATTTGATGGCTTTTGACAGCGTTAGTCATGCTCGATCTTACTGTAAGTTGAATGTATTTGGTCATAATGATAAGGATGAAATTTATCAATTTCTTGTAAAGTGGACATTTTTATGGGAAGCAATTTTTCTTTTTTTTAACTGCTTTGAATTTTTATTTATTTAGTCAGTCCTCACATAGTGGTTGAGCATCAGACATGGACAGTACCTATAGTGGGAGTAAGACCGTCTTTGTGGAGCTCATAGACCACCTGTGAATGCCAAGACCAATTACTAACTGCAATTATGATAGATACTAAAAATGAACACTTTAAGCTTCTGTGTGAGCCCATAAAGTGGAGGAGCTGACCCAGTTTGTGGTTGTCAGAAAAGGCCTCCTCAAGGTAGTAACATAATTTGGGACTAAAAAACACCTCGGAGTTAGACAGCAGATGGGGCACAACAACTGGCATGGGCACAGGCACTAACACAGACATAAATTTGCTGCTTTAGAGAATCTTAGTGAAGCACAGTGTGGCTGACATGTCAGGAGCAAAAAGACAAGGTCAGGCAGGGGGGTAGGCATCGATAAAGACATGTTGGGCTTGACCTCTGTCACTGGGGAGCCATATAAGGGGTCAGGCTGTAGCACTTGATGATAGCCTGTAAAATTAAGAAAGGCCAAGTGACCCTTTGTTCTGTCACCTTTTTCCTTTCTTGGTCAGGAATATGACTGGAGGAACTACCAGCCCAGCCAGATGAGTGAATCTGAGTTGCAAATGCTGGCAAGCCTACGGCAGCAGCAGAATGATGATCTGGAGGACACGGGGGCTTCCCATGGCCTGAGTGCGTCCCAGGTGGACAACTGTAACGTCAGCATAAGTACCAGCAGTGACGACACCACCACCTGGAACTCCTGCCTGCCGCCTGTAAGTCCCGGGCTTTGGTCCGTTGATTTCCCTAACAAGGAGCAAGCTCCTTCCTTACAGAGCCCGCCTTGCCTGGGAAAACCAGGGCCCAACAAGCACCCTCACTATGAGCAACACTCAGAGCCCATTCGGAAATACTAGTCTGTCAGGTGTGGGGGCATTGACTTTTCTAAATTGTCTTAGTTAACCTCAAATAATGCATGCTAATTGTGTGTTGATATATAAAACCACACATGGAAAGAAACAAGAATAATTTAGTTGTAGATTCTAGATGTCCCACTGCATCCCCAGCTCCTTGTACAAGCTCTGGCACACAGGAGGGTAGATATTTGTTCAATGAATGAACAAATAGGAAGAGACTATAAATATTCTAAGGATTGCTTGGATGCAAGGTCAGAAAAGAACCTTCTGTAGAAACCACAGATGTTTACTGACTCTTCCCTGCGCCTGAGGGCACGATCGGCCTGCAGATGCTTCAGGGGCTCCTGTTTGCCCATATGCTCGCACAGGTGGAGCTCTTTAATACGGCCCAGCATCCACACTAGGATGGCAGAGGACTCGGAGTAGCTCAAAGTCTTCCTGGTTTTCAGGTGAAGGAACTAAAATTGGCCCACCTTCCACCCCAGTCAGTGTTGGACCCCAGAGCAGAGCCCAGTGTTCAGACTAGGTCCATTCTCTACAATACTGTCCTACAGGACCTTCTGGCTTAATTGGAAATACAAAGCAGAACCTTCGACAAATAGTCACAAGAAATACTGTGAAGCAGAATAATAAATCATTTTTATAATAATCATAATTATTAAGCACCTAGAGACATTTTAAGACCTAGCTAGGCCCAAGGGACATTTACATATAAGGCCACATTCAACATCAGATCAAACGCATTAAAATACACTTTTATCCAACAGTAAATATTCTATCCAACAGCAATTTTTGAAAGGAAACATAAAATTGTGTAACTTTGATTCATATTTATATAATGTATTAAAATATATAAAGATTGAGTCCTAGTGTAGGTTGGCAACGGATAACTTCTGTATTAAGTATTTCATTAAATATTTATTAATTTTACAATTTTCTTTTTTAATTTTAAAGCCAGCTTTTTTAAAGTTTCCAACATCTTTGTAGATCTTAGAAATCTCAGAGGCCCTGGCACTAGGCCTGTGGTGTTACCTAACTCCCTCCTCACTGCTGTCCCCTGTGGTGAGCACTGGGAAGGCCCATTTCCAGATGGGGAAATGGAGGGCCTGAGTAAAGTGACTCAGAACTAGTGTGGCATGACTCCTGAGTCTGAGCTCCTGACCACCATGAGTCAGTGACTTCTCCATGACTCAGCTGTCTAATGAGTGCTACCAATATCCAGCAGAAGGTGAGATTCCTGCTCTGGAGGGAACTTATAAGTCTTCATGGAGGAGGAATTCAGATTGGCTCTAAGGAGGGGGTGTGTGTGTGTGTGTGTGTGTGTGTGTGTGTGTGTGTGTGGTAGAGTGAGATGGTGTTCATTTTTCATTAGTGTTCTTTTTCCTTACCTTGCCCACCCTCCAGGTTTCTCTTGCCTCAGTTGTGCTTTCATTAATTGAATGTCCAAGCATGCATAATGTCTGGAGCAGCCTTAGTGCCAGAGTATCACCCATGCAGCAAAAATACCCTGTGTGCTGGTACTCACAGTACTCTTGCAGCCAGCGCTAAAAGCATCAGTATAAGTTGCAGATTTTTGCCAATGCTATTTACAATGGAAATGAAACATTGCCTTTCTTATAAAACAGTCCTCGGCAGGCATTTAAACCGAAAGAACAAAAGGGAACAGTGGCCTTCTGAACAAGCTCCTTCCGTCATGAAGCCGCTTGGAGGCCAGCATTACAAAGGGCAAGCTGAGGAATGCTTATTTATGGACTGAAAAGGCTGAGCTCTCGGTTGCCCTGGATACAGTGTTCTCATCACTGTCCTGTCTGACAAGAACTGAAGTCCTCATGCGTGACAACTGCTCCTCTCTAAAAGTATTTGGCCAAAAACAACATCATTAATAATGATCTTAATAACCCCTCTATTTGACCAAATGAAAAATTGAAATATTTTAGACAGAGAATATAATGGAAAAGCCTACCTTTGGTATTCATAAGATGTGTTTATTACTGCATCAAGTTCAATATTGGAACTATCACCAAATGGAAAATTACATTTCTTAATGAACTCCTGCATCTTGTTGCTCGTAGAGAGTTTAAATAGCAGTTTACAAGAACTATTGTGGTCTTTCTGAGAGCTCATACCTTTCTCTTTAGAAGTTGTACAGGGGCCATGAAAAAGAACAAAAGAACTCATAACTTTATTTATCACAGTAATATCCTGCTTTCCTTGTAGCTCAGTGATGGCTACCATCCAGGCTGGCACTCAGACCAGAAACTTGGAAGACCCCCTCCCCCTCCTTTGGGGTCCACATCCACTGGGTCTCCAAATCCTGAGTCTCCACTCTTCCTTTTACCTCCTAACGCTCCCTACTTATACCATAACCTTGGCACTGTATTTTTTTATGCAAATTCTTTCAACAGTCTCCTAATACCTCTGTATCTCCAGTCCAAGCAGCATAGCCTGAGGGATAGGAGCATCTGCTCCGAAGTCATATTGCCAAGGTTCACATCCAAGCTATGACCTTGGAAAAGCACTTGGCACTGAGACATAATAAGCACTTAATAAATTAATGTTGGTGGTAATTTTTAATATCATTATTATTCACATTGGTGATCTTTCTAAAGCCCCGCTCTGTTTTATCTCTTCCCTGCATAAAGCCTTTTCACAACCCCCCCCCCCGTTGCCTCTTTAGTTTGGCCTACAGGGCCCCCGATGATCTAAGACCCGGCCCCTCTCGTCTCATCTCTCACTGCTCCCCACCTTTCACTCCCAGCTTTAGTCCCAGTTGTGAATCCCTAAATGCACTCTGCACATATCCTTGTACCTTATACCTGTTTATCCCACAAGACTTAGCTCCAGAGTCTTCTGCAGCCCTTCTCCAGGCCTCACTGTGAGAGACACATCTTCCTTTCTCCACCAGAGCCAGGAATATCTCCATGGTGACTCTCACCACAGCCTAGCTTGTCTGTCTCACATTAATTCATTTCACATTTTGTTTTGAGTGGTACCACATGCTGGGAACTATGCTGGGCATACAAACAAAGCTTTACCTGCTTTGAGATGTTCACCACACTGCAGGGAAGCAGAGTCCTGTCAGTCAGGGTAGTGAGTGATGATAGAATAGAGTCTGGGAACAAGTGAGAGGCAGCATTCATTCTACCTGTTGGTTTCAGGGATACTTCATAGAAAAAAGTACCGTTAAACCAGAGTTCAAGAACCAGTGCAGCCCTGGTTGGTGTTGTTCAGTGGATAGTGTGCGAGCCCATGTACTGAAGGATCTTGGGCTCAATTCCCAATCAAGGGCACGTACCTGGGTTGTAGGTTCCATCCCCGGCCCCATTCAGGGCATAAGCAAGAGACAACCAATCAATACGTCTCTCTGACATTGATGTTTCTCTCTCTCTCTCTCTCCCTCCTTTCTACTCTCTCTAAAAATCAATGGAAAAAATATCCTCAGATGAGGATTAACATAAATAAATAAATAAATAAATAAATAAATAAATAAATAAAATGTTTCAAAAAGAATGAATGCAAACTCACCATGTAGAAAGAAAGAGAAAGGAATTCCAAGTTAGAAAAGGAACAGAAGTAAATCTATGGAAGTGAGGGTGGAGTCCCTGTTTTAATAGGATAACTTCGTCACAGTACCTTTGTTTCTTCATCACCTTGAACCAGACTTGAAATGAGTTTTCGCTTGTCTCAGCATCACCACCCACCTCCCACCCAATACACATAGGACTAACTACATGCTCTAGCTACATTGTGCAGCTTGTCATACCTTTCATCCAGATCATGTCAATCATGCTGTTGCTCATGCCTCTTCCTTCGGCCTGGGGACCCTCCATCCCTCTTCTCCTAAACACTCTTTGTGGCCCAATTCAAATGTCACTGCTGCACGAAGCGCTTCTGACCCTCAGCCACCATCTACAGAATTATCTCTTCTCTGGGTTCCCATTGCCTTCAGGCTCAACGATAGCACTGACCACATCAGGGATCCTTGTTGCCAGCATCCACCAGACCTGGTTGTAAGCTCCCTGAAGGCAGGACTATGCTGAGCAGAGAACATGGCATGAGGTCACACTCAGTCTGGGCTGGTTGTTACTTATTAGTTGAATAATCAATCAATAATATTAAAATATTGTTTTACTCTAAAATAGTAGTTTTTATCAAAATTTTAAAATAAATGAGCTTTTCTTTGCTTAAATAAATTCTTAAAGTGGCAGGTAATATTTTACATTCCAGATTTGATAAATGGGTATTATATATACACATAAAGGAAAAATCTCCCTCTGGACAGGGCTTAATGACCAATAATTTTAAAAGGAGACTTAGGCAGGTCACATTCAGTTTAGCATCTTTATCTCAGGACTTCACACACATTGCAGTCTGGAACCAGAATGAGGTCTTTAGCAAATTCTATTGTGTTTACTACAAGCTTTGATTCCTCAGCTTCCCCGAGCATCTGTATAGTTCAGAGTAATATGTACTATTTAAATGGTGTTTAGATGCTATAAATTAGTCATTTAAAAGTGTACTTACAAGTAACCATATTTCTTGTAGCAGATTGGCTTTTGTTGGCATCTCATGCTAAGTAAATCAAGCCTGCTGAGAATCCCCTGGCCTTTGACAGACAGATTTTTCAAAGTGTCTAACTTAGAACCAAATTCAATTAAAATACTTTACAACTTCTATGGAAACCAAGCTACAGGTAATCACATTCGGAGGGTTTCTGTCAGGAGTAGCCCTCATGAGATTTAGTCATAAACTGGGCCCCAGGCAAGCTTGAGAGGGGTGCTAAGTGCATTTTATTTTGATGAGGGATTTCGATTGACAATGCATAAAACCATGGTGTGTGTGTGTGTGTGTGTGTGTGTGTGTGTGTGTGTTGTTCCTTTTTAAGAAAAGGATAGTTATTAATGGAGACAGCTTCATGTGATGACCAAAATATAGACTCTGCATCAGCCAACCTTGGCTCATTTACTAGGTGTACTGATTAATAATGCAGATTTTTTTCAATAGATGGTGTTACACATATGTTGATATATATGGGATTTGATATGTATGCTATTTTGTTGTATTGACAACAAGTTTCAAAACTTCATATGTCAAATTTTCTGAAGGTGTTAACATCATAGATATTTTTACACTTGAAAATGTCAAATGTTTTGCCTTAAAAAGAGCATTTGCGGGAAGTTTTAATTCATTACTAGTACTGACTCAGTCGCCTATAAAATGGGAATAATAAAGAGCCTTCCTCGTACTGGCATGATGAAAAATGAATGAGACCATGGGGTGCATGAGTCCTGTGCCTAACAGAGGAAGCTCAGGCTAACTATACTCTGCTCCCCAAAGCTGTTCTCCTCAAAGGGCCACTTGAGTGACCAGAAAAGATTTCTAGAACATTTCCCTTTTTTCTGACCACTGAGGGCTGTAAGGGTGGGCAGAGGTTCTGTTGTTCTTGTAATATGAGCTTAACCATTAGAATCCAGACCGACCCCCTCAGAACTTTACACATCAATTCTTTCATTATTTCATTATTTCTCTCTCCCATCTATAAACCTAGATTCTGGAAAAGCATGCCTCACATGCATGCTAGCCTGTAAGCAACCAGGGGCCTCAAAGCCACCATTCCTTCAAGTTAGGAATTCCTGTAACCAAGTATATTAGTCCCTCAGCTCGTTTAAAAAAAAAAGAAACTCATCACATGCGTCCATCAAATGGCATATTGCAGAGCATATTTGGAGGAAAATGAGGAAAAACGCACGTAATAAAATTACAAGCATATGGTGACACATTACTTATGGTCTTGATTAACCTTGCAACTTTATTGCCGTTTTCATAAGATTTTACATACAACATGAAAATATTGTCTTTACCTTTTAACATGACAGAATTATCTTATCTCCTGTTCTTTTAATTAGCCTTTACTTCTCTCCCTCAACCCCCAAATTTCTAGCAGCTTGATCGTGGGAAAACGGAGCTTCTTTTGTGCTCAGTGGTAGTTAATTTTATGTGACTGTGGTTTTCTGACACTAGTGCATAGCAACAGCGCCACCAAAAGGACGAGGTCCTGAGTTTCTAGGATCTGTTCCATTTCTTTGCTCATCATCATATCAGTTTTTACATGATGATTGCTGGCTGCTCTGTGTCCAATATATAATACCTAATATATTGGCACTTCAGGCTTTAATAGGTCTTAATTTGTTCTGACCTGCAGATTCATTAACTTCTCCGTTGTCTTTAGGTGTAATGAGTTTTCTTTTACTCCTGAACTAAAAAAGTAAATAGTTGATTGAGCTAAGCTGTAGATAACTCCGAGGAGAAGACATCATGGCACTATAGGATGATAAAACTGGTGTTAGAGTCAGCGCAGTATCTGAGCTGCATGGAATTAGCCTTCCTCATCCTCAAAGTATTGTCTATTACATCTTATATTTGTCCCAAATTTAGCAATGTAGCGACACTTAGTTTCTTTAATGTTAAGTATAGAGTAATATGTCATAAGAATGAAATCAAATGAATTTATGGTAAGGAGGTAGTCTTATATATTTCAAATAAATGTACTTCAGTACCCTTTTTTTTCTGACGTAAACTGAACTGAGTTTGTCATATTTGTTATTCAGAAGCTTAGGTATTCCCCACTCCAGGTGAGCCCCAGCTGGATTAAGTTCATACTCTAGCGGTTCTCAAACTGTGGGTCGCGACCCCTTTGGGGGTCAAACGACCCTTTCACAGGGGTCGCCTAAGATCATCGGAAAACACATATATAATTACATATTGTTTTTGTGATTAATCACTATGCTTTAATTATGTTCAATTTGTAACCATGAAATTGGGGGTCACCACAACATGAGGAACTGTATTAAAGGGTCGAGGCATTAGGAAGGTTGAGAACCACTGGGTTAGAGGGTAAACTGAAACCAGACGGCCTGGTTTTCAATTATGGCTCCACTATATCCTGGCCGGCAGGACCTTGGCTAACACCCAGTGGCTGGATTTCCTCCTCTGTTAGATGGAGTTGTTTGTCCTGTCCATTTCATAGAATCACTGTGCGAATCCCATGAGGGATTGAACACAGAGTAAGTGCACAATAAATATCAGTTACCACCATTATCATTATTGTCACAGTTATTGGTAGGTATTGGTTGCTATTCCTTGGCTTCTTCTTATGGTATTCTCTAAATATGGCTGAATTCCAAAATCAAAAAATCAATTTTAGTTTTTTAACTGGTGCTTTCAAAGAATGTTACCTACCTGGAAAAAGTAGAAATAGGTTTACTGCTGCATATGTATAGAAACATATGTCTATTTCCATCTGTGGATAAGGACATCTGGCTTCAGACAACCCACTATATTCTCCCACTGCCACCACCTCCCTAACCCCCAACCCCCATGGTGAGAGAGCTTTAGAAACCATTGGGCACATGCTCATGCATTCTGATTTGGGCCTAGAAGACAAAAGACCTCACCCAAGTGAAAGCTCTGCCCTTTCAAAGTATCAAAGCAAAGTCATGGGAACCAAAATATCTTGAAGGAGCTCCTTAGCTACATCATTCCCATAATCCCTTCCTGTCCCTGAGTTGGGTTATAAAATTAGAAGATGTGCAGAGAAAGGGAAGTGGGCCACCCATTTTGTATGGCACTCACTTGCATCCTTCCCCCATTGAGTCATTAGCAGGGAGGTTTATAAGTCCCTTTATAGCAGCTACATGCATAAGTCTAAATGCTATTATTAAATTTAAGTTCCTTATTGAATAAAAATTTTTTGAGTAACAACTTTGTCATTAGCTTTCAATAGTACAAATTAAGTTAAGGAATCCAGTATTCAGACCAAGTTACAATGCCTGCAATTATTTTAAGTAAATATTTTTATTTACCTTTCTATCTATTCATATCTGTAATCCTTATTACTTTGAAAAGTTTCCAGTGGTTATTTTTTTTTTTTTTGCTTTGTTTTCTGACACTTAAAAATCATTTTAAGTGTGAACCTTTTATTAATTGTATTCCCTTTTATTCCTTGTATCATTGGATCTGTTTGATATAAACATGAGCAAGCATGGACGGGCCAGTCTATGTGGGCTAAGTGGTGGCTGAGTCACAAACAAGGTAGATTCTGCAGCCATTTCTATTCCCCAGAGGAGGGAATAGGCATTGAAACAAGGGGGTGGGGACAGGTGTAAATAGAATCAATGGTATAAAATTAAGCAAATAGAAATTTGGCTGAATATCAGGACTGTGATTCTTAGAGTTATGGAAATGCCTCTTAAAGTCATAGGCAGAGTTCCATTTACGGGAGGCCTACTACAGCTGAAGTACTGGAATACCAATGAAGACTTTATTGCAAGTATTTTGGCACCAGTGTGAGTTGGTCTAGAGAACCTGTTAGGCACTTTATGTGCTAATCCTTTTTTGCTGTGAAATAGTAAAGCCTAAATCATAGAACTAAATTTCACTTACAAATTGCTAAAAGTCTTATTTCTCTAGTGAGATCAAATATGTCTTATAACATGTTTTTCCTTCCACTGGTCTCCCAGCTGTTGTTTCTTACTACTGAAATGGTGATGCATTGATATTGGTTCAATTACCAAAGTATCTGAGTACATTTACATTCATGGTACATCACAGAGAGGCAGGCTAAGTGAGTGTGATCATCATACAGGGTGTTCAATTTAAATTAAAGGAACACTTCCAAGACGTTATTTATAGAGGAATACAGTTTACTCTAGAGAATTCCCATCATGCATGTCATTAATATTTTAGGATCTATTAAAATAAGCAATATGTGCTCTCCATGTTCAGGCACCATGGCCACACTTTTTCTTGGTTGGTGTCAGTGCCATGGGGTCACATTATGGGTAAGAAAACATTAACGCCAGCCCCACTGGGTAAGGAGCTAACTGAAGCCCTTTGAATGCAATTCAAAAATGTATACCAAATTCCAACTCATAATAAAATGAGAACATTAAAAATGATTTTCATATTATGATTACATGGTGGTTAGTCACATAGGAAAATACTTGGAGCTAATGTTGAAAAACAGAATTTGTGTCAGGTCTAATAGAATTTTCTCCTTTTATAGAACAAATGAAAAACACCAAGTTCCAATGGAGGCAAGTTAAGGCTTGCATGGGATGTGGTGGTTTAGCTGTGTTTTGAAATAGTAACTTAAAAGTTTCTTGTGGAGGGAAAACTTGATAGTTCACATTTTTGGTGGGTATTGGCATCACATTTTTTCAGCTATCTGATAAATGCCTGAGGTTTTATTACACACTTGGGGGAAATTACAACCCTAACCCAAGATCCACGTGTGTAATTCCATTAATGAAAACGGATATTCTCCTTGCAAACTTACTAACAATGAGATAGAAATATATATAATCTACATCCCCCGGGCTCTGAGTTATTGCCTGTACTTGCTATGCAGCATTAGTGCACCAAGATATCTTGTTTGGTTTTGCTGTATCTGGAAATATCAAGCAATGTTAATAGCACAAAATTCCGAAAGGAGGATCCACCATGAACTTTGATTGCACCATGGATGCTATCTAGCCCACTGACTGGCCATTAAAATGACCTGTTTCCTCATATGCATCACCTTGTTATTAGCTTGATCTCCCAAACAGCCTTCAACTCTTCTTTAAAATAAGCCAGCCACTTCTTGCAGATTGTTTCTGGGAGGAAAATTGCAGTAATGAGAGTGTCCGTGAAAGTATATGTCAAGAGTATGATACTGATTAGTTTTTACTCACAAATGGTTTGTCTCTTACAGCCTGTCAACCAGGGTCGGCACTATCAGAAAGAAATGAATCCACCTTCTCCTTCTAACCCCCGGTAAGAATCATTACTAATCTAAATTCCTTGTTTAAAGATTAGTTAGATTATGCATTTTTCTTGGTTTCATGAAATTGGTTTTCAAAACAGCCAAAGGACTTTCCAAAGTTGTTCTTTTTTTTTAGAAGTCTTTCCGAAGTTCTTTTTTTTAAGAAAAGTTCAGTCTACTTTTCTTGTCTAGATTATAGTGTATTGGCTAACAGCCTACCTAGGTTTAAATAGCACTCTGACCTTTTACTAGCTGTGGGACACAAAGCTAGTCATTGAACTCAAATTCAGGCATGATAATCTCATAGTGTTTTGGGGAGGATCAAATGAATTAATACATGAAAAGTTATTAGCACAGTTCCTGGCAAACTCTTTTAAGTATTAATTTAGTCATTGTTACTCTACTTGCTTAGATACTTCAATTTAATAGATATTTGATATTTAGTACATTTTAAGCATACATCTTTTTTATGTTGCTTGGTACCTTTAAATTTATCAAAATAGCTTATACAAGTATAAATAGTGATTCTCTTTTTTTATTTCAAATTTTCATAATCTCAAAATTATTTCATTATTTTAAAAATGTCACTGGCATATGAGTCATTTCTCAATATAAAGAAATCTCATTATTTCAGGCTCATTAGGGACAAGGAAATCTGAATTTCCGTTTTGAAATATATGTAGTATCATATGGCTTTCTAATAAATAGCTAAATAAGGTAGTTTATCTGCATAAATCATTATTACTTTATTACTCTTTATTGTATGCTAGGAATTTATTAAAATCAATCTATCTTGAGCTGCACACACAAGGTCTTAGTTATTATAATGCATCTCATTATCCAGATGCACCTCATTATCAAGCTCTTTCACCTGTACTGTGGTTGGTCCCACTGAATGAGCCAAATACCAGCGACAGCATCATAGCTCTGGCTCCGGAGAGTGATCTCTATTACAGAGTGTCTGAACTAGACTCATCGGTTACACGTATCAAAAACAACTTAGATAATATTAAAAGAGAGAGACAGATAGATAGCTAGTAGGGATTTGTTAAATAAGAATATAGGCTATATCCTCAGACCAAGGGCAACCAGGCCTAGGAGGGACTGAAACTTGCTCCCAGGGTCTGCTTCATTCTTCTCTCTGCGCACCAGCTTTCTCTGCTTCCAGTCACATGGCTGGCTGACAGCTCTGGAGTTTACATATTACACATACATGCTGAGGCTGGCAGGCTATGCCTGAATCCAGTTCCTACTTCAGGAAGGAGAATATGATTGACATAGCTTGGGCCAAGTAACCACTGGTCTAATCAGCAATGAACAGCAAATCGAAGCCATGTAAAAGCCAGGTGACCACCTACACAGTTCACAGCACTTTTAATGGGGCCCAGAATATCCATGACATTGGTAGAGTAAATATACTTTGTTAGTGACCTCGTCTAAGTATTCCTGGTCTGTACACTTGATCTGTCACTGTCATAACTAAATACAATAGTAGTTTCAAAAGTGAGATTGTAGTTTTAGTATATGTAAACGGTATATGTTTAGTATATGTTAACATCGTTAGAATCAGTTATCTCTTGATATGTGAATATGTCCCTTATAATCATGTAGCTCATCTAGATTTGACTAACAAACTCTTTTTCTATATATGAGTAAACTTTCAAGGTAATTGCAACTCCAACTTTGGTCCAAATTATAACAAAGTCAGAATTTGTAGTCTGAACAAGTGATAGTGGTAATAAGACATGTTAAAAGGTAGAAACTTTTGTTTCAATAAAAGGGGAAAAGGACCCTAATTCTCATCCTCATTCTGCTACTAACACAGTAAATTATCTTAGACAAGCCTCTCAATCTATTCAGACCTCACCTAATAATATGAGCACCCTCATGTGTCATAGAAAGGATCTGAGTTACATGCTCTCGAGAGTCATTCCCAGCTTGAGATTCTGGGACTTTGATGAGAGTCATAGATTTTTACATAGGAAAACCAGTCCCACTATTGAAGAGAACCCTTTATAGAAAATATTCTTCATAATATTGGGTGAATTAATTAATGTTTAGATGTGGTAGTCTGTGACTTTAAATATCTCATTTAAAATTCAATTCTCAAAGATAGAATATAAGAAAATTTACTAATTAAACAGTATATTTATTTAACCAATTAAATGTCCATTCATCTAGGAAAAAATAATTTAGATTTTTACATAATAAAATTAAAAACCAAATTCTAAAGGGAAAAACAAAATGCAATTAATCCCATTTGCCAGCAGGTTATCCACCAGTTTTCTGGAACGTTATTATATAGCTGTTCAGGAAACCTGAAGATTACATGGCTTGGCTCTTGGCTCATAACTTCAGCAGCTTGGAGAAGTGGCAGAAAGGCATTATAGGGCCATAAATGAAAAAGATGATAAAATTGTGAGGGTAGCATAGATCATCATATAAAATGGGATAAAAGAATTCACTTACACTCATTGGGGCAATGTTTGACACTGGATAGAGTGAGACATAAAGCTAATTGTTTCTGGAATGTTTATAATCTAGGAATTAAAATACTCATGGTTCACCTCACCATAATCCCTTGCTTCTCTAGATTTTCAACAAAGCCCCTTGCATTGATAGGCATGGGTGTGATATTTCCCACTGTATTTTCCTAACAGACTGACTGACAGGCAGCACCTCAAATGCTGGGGCCCTTGCCTCCAGTGTCCACCTGCATTGCCTCTTGGGGCGCTGACAGCCTCAATGACAAGGTGCAGAAGTGGCTAACAATCTAACACAATTGAGAGGAGTGTTGGGTAGGAGGAAACAATTTCACAGTTCACTCATGTTGAGAAGTGTTTTCTAGCATGTAAACTTGCTGCCAAATGGAAGAAAATGGATGCTGTTTGCAGCCTTAAGTCATTTATTTTCAAATTCCTTCCCTTGGTTTGTGGGGTTCAGAGCTGTCCCTTAGGCACATCTATGCATGTGTTTATGTAGAGTCTTCAGAATGGCTCAAGATATTTTTGCTCAGAAATGGGTTTTGTAAAATAAGCTGTGATTACTTTCTAGTAGTCTGTTTATATGGATGGAGTCGATAACCAATCTTTCAAATGATGATTATACTTGCTATTTTTACTCATTGGAAAATTAGAGGGGGAGGGGGAAGGTAGTCTAAGGCTCTGTAAGGCTCTAAATGTTTATGGAAATAAACAATACAGAAGATAATTCTGGAATGCCCAGTAATGAAGGGCATGGTTTTCTCAAGTGTTTGCTTTATGATTTATCATCTTCTGTGTTTTTAAATATCAGTGCAGATTGTGTTAGGGCTTGAATCCTTTGCGGCTTTGCCACATGTTTTGTGATATAAACATACTTATAACTATAATTATCTGATAAACTCCTGCAGACTTTGACAAATGATTAATAGCCGGTGACCTCAGTTCCCACTGGCTCAGCTGACCCGACCGAGGCAAGCTGGCCTGTCGTGGTAACTACCAGCCTGCTCTGGGCTGATCACAGTGATTTCATCTTTCTTTTCTCGCCAATTGTCGGGACACAGCCTGATGGGCTTCTCTACAGCTTACGTTTCTGTCCCGCCAGTACAAATGAGAGAAAGGTATAAATGAAATGAAATACAGAAATTGCATGTCCTGCTTCTCTTCAAATGCTTACATTTGGGTCATCTTAAAAAATTTTTAAGAAATATTTCTCCTTTCGGACCAAAGCACAAGGACTAATTTCCTGATTAATTGTGATAGATATAAATAGATAGATGTAGATAGATAGATAGATATAGATATAGATAGATGGATATAGATAGGTAGGTAGGTAGATGTGGATAGATAGATGATAGGTAGCTGATAGATAGATAGATAGATAGATAGATAGATAGATAGATAGATAGATAATCTGAGCCTGTGGAGCTGGTGCCTCTTAAACTCAAGTGATTCTATGCCCCTCCTGCTCCCAGAGGTCTGCAGTCCACTGGTCCAATCTTTTCAACAGGCTTTATAAACACCAGGTACAAAGAGACTCAGCTGGGCCCCTTTCTTCCCCAGTTGAAGTACTAAGTTCAGTTTATAACATTCACCTCCATTCTACCTGAGGGGGATGGGATGGGGGCTGCAGGCATGACATGAACCTGAGGAGAGGAAGACCATCATGAGGGTTACGTGGCTGCAGCCCGTCGCATCTGTGGACTCGCCACCTCATCCTTCATTTAGTAAATGCAGAATAGCTTCCCTGTTTAAACAAGGAACCTCTACCACACAAAATGATTCAAAGTGTTTCCGTTCATACCTTCAGCAACATTCAGTGTTTCTTAAGCACCTACTATGTGCAGAGCATCGTGGAGAGATGGCTTTAGTGTGCCTTCAGGGAGCTCTCAGCCTCCCATTGCAGACCAGTCCTCCCTGCGTGTCATCAAGGCAGTGAGTGTGTGAATGTCTCAGGAAAGGTGCTGGGGGCCCGGGTGCAGCCTTTCCAAACCTCTGCCCCTCACACACTCTGCTTTTGTTAGCAGTTAGTTTTACTTCTTCCTCATACATAATTCTTTTGTTTCTCTTATTAATGAAAAACATTACATTTTGAAATTGATTAAGGTTAAAACATAATTTTTCACTCAAGCAATATATTATGTTTCCAGAGTTTACAGCTCCGTATTTCGCTGTTCATTGCCGCATAAAAACCCACTCAGTATAATAAATACTGTACCAGTCCCACATCCAGCCTATTTCAAATGACTTGAAAGAGAAAAGGCAAACAACTTCTAGCTGATTTGATTGAATTAACACTAACATTATTGTTCTATTGACTTTTTCTTGTCCATTGATTCTTAAAAGCCTTTTGCTCCCTTGCCATTGATTAAGACAAATTAGATGCAATTCGGTGCTTCGGACAAGAAAGTGCTGTTTGGTGTTGGGTGTTGGGTGTATGCGTGGGAAATATATGTGTGTGTGCTGAAACAAGACTGGTTAGAGCTTAACAGTTGTGACCTTGGTTTTATGATGTGTGAACTCCTGGATCA